TTGGATTAGGTCTGCTTTAGACCCCGTGTGATAAGGTCCTTAGGGTTGCCATAAGTCAGAAACGACTTGAAGGTACACCTGAACATGAACAGCGTTGAAAGCACAAGGCTGCTGCTTTCTGAGTCTGTGGAACCGAGCATCCTAGGAAATGCGCCGTGGCATCACCATCTTAAGAAAGCGAATGTTTTGGTCCTAGTCCTCTCCCCCGCTTCCCTCCTGTGATTTTCATCTCTTCATGCCCAGATTGATGTAATGCCTGAGTAAGTTTCAGACAGAGTTCCTCAGTCACATGGTTCCTTGGGAGGCCAGAGTCCTTTTGGGTGGCTTTGTTGTCTGTCTGCCTCCTGGCCTCCCGCTTCCCCTCCAAGAGAGCTAGAAAATGCAGCCTCTGTGTGTGTGTGTGCATGCATGTGTTGTGTGTTGCAAAGGCTCACACGTGCCAGTGTTTTCTCCCAGGCACAGCCTGCCATTGGTCCAGGCTTGTTTCTGTGATGCTGTGTGCCTCCTGCCTCAATGCAAGGATTGGGTGGCATGGACCATCATTTGGGGTCTGGAAGAAGGAGGCGCATAATGCACAATGATGCGCTTGCACACCCCGCCAAGCACCCTTGGAAACGCTGGGGGTGAACAGCACCACATCCATGACCCTTGCATTGTTCTCTCACTATGGAGCTCCCTCTCCAGGCCTCTTCCCACCACCCCTTTCTCAGGTCACAGGGGGACAAGGCAGAGGCGGAAGGGGGGGGAAGGGTGTAGCCACGTCTGCTAATCTCTCCTGAGATCCAACTGGTCTGGAAGGGTTGGACAAACAATTCACAATCCTCCTCCTCCTCCTCTCCAGTGGCTCAGCTGCTGTTTCCCAAAATAGCTCCTCAGTGGAGGCAGGCAGAAGCTGAGACAAAGGTGGCATTTTTCATTTTCAAAAGAGAAAGGGGCAGAGGGGTGATCCCCTCCCTGCCTATATATATATGTGTGTGTGTGTGTGTGTGTGTGGTGTTTTTCTCATGTACACACACACACACACACTGTATATATAAGGAAAATGCCAGCTTTGTCTCAGCTTCTCCCTGCCTGCTTTGGGCAGGTAGGGTGATGTCTCCCTGCTGATTTGATTTATTCCCCTCTGTAAAAAGGTTTTCCCTTCTCCATCATCACCTCCTCTGTATGTATCTACACACACACAAGAGAACCAAAATGATTGTAAATAAGCGTGTTGCAGTGTATCATATTTTGGAGACATTTTGGGAAACAACCCTGTAAAGTTCGTTAGTTCACTCATCCTATTTTGATCCCACCTTTCCTTTAAGAAGCTTAGGGAACTATACATGGCTCCATTCCTTTATTGTCACAACAGTCCTATGAGGAAAGTTGTAGTGTCTGGTTCATATATATATATACACCATACCCGCTCAAAAAGGAAAAAAAAAAAAAGGCCACAGTATGAGGAGCTGCGAGCAGGAAACAGCTTGTGGGAGACCTTCCCAATTGCAGAAAGGTGTGCCCAATGACAGATTTGTTGTGCTTCTAAAGTTGGGTTTGTTGTCCACTGGAGAAGTCATGATTTAGGAAGGGAGGATGTGATTTAATTAGGTATTTCCAGTCTGGAACCAGGGTTCAATTCCCTGCTCAGCCATGAAATCCCCACTGGGTGACCTTGGGGAAGTCACATGCTCTCAGCCTCCTCTGAACAAATCTTGTCAAGAAAACCCCATGAGGTTGCCATAAGTCTGAAACAGCTTGAAGGCACACAACACACACACACATCCAAGCCAAGAAGCCACTGCAGGGCTGTGGGAGTCCTTGCACTCTTGTCCAGAATCAATGCAAATGGAGTGACAACAAATTTAAATAATCTGGTGTTAAACATTTTGTTCTGTTGTGGTTGCAGGAGGGAGACGACACTACATACAAAGTCCCTGTAACAGAGTAAATAGGTTTATTCAATTGTGACCAAATCTTTA